TAGCGTTCAAACGCGCTACGGTTGACGTGGCGCGTTTTTTTTGAACGCAACCCAGGTTCGGGCGCGCGCGTGCCAAGGGCCATGGGGTGGTGGTCTGCGTTCATGGGGATTACAAAAAAAAAAAAGGCCCCTAGCGGCCACACCCCGGCGCCCCAGCACCCCACCACCCCGGTGCCCCAGAGCCCCACACCCCGACGCCCCAGCGTCCCAGCGCCCCAGTGCCTCACACCCCAGCGCCCCGGTTCCCCGGCGCCCCAGCGCCCCACACCCCGGTGCCCCAGCGCCCCCGCGCCCAGAGCCCCACACCCCGGCGCCCAAGCGCCCCAGCGCCCGAGAGGCCCACACCCCAGCGTCACAGCGCCCCAACACCCCACACCCCTCACCCCACACCCCGACAGCCCAGCGCCCCAACACCCCACATCCCGGCACCCCAGCGCCCCAGCACACCACTACCCCACACCCTGGCGGCCCAGCGCCCCGGCGCCCCAGCGCCCACACCCCGGCGCCCTAGCGCCCCAGCGTGCACACCTCGGCGCCCCACCGCCCAACCGCCCCGCCGCCCTAGCGCTCACACCACGTCGGCCCGCCTACAGCATGTTTGCCGCAGCACCCTACACCACACCCTCCATTCAACAACCCCCCAACCCCCCGGCACCCCAACGCCCACACCCTGGCGGGGGCGTTGGACGGATAATTCAGCAATGGTTCTTTGGTTTTCTGAGATGTCGCATTTGGGTGTTGTGGGAGAGCTGGAAAAAACAAACACCCGCAAACATACATCCACATTTATCTAATTGTCACTCCATTCGTCATTCGTGGACCGAAATGCAAGTTAATAAATTGGTTTATCAGAAGCATACAATGAGAAAGTGGAAAAACATAAACCGATACATTTGACACTCGTCATCCACAAAACACGAACACCACAAATGCCGAGACAATATCTAAACCGAAATGAAAAGAAGTGTAGCATGGATGGTAGCAAAATCATGCCACAATGTACCTGTCACATAGAGTCAAACAATTGCCCGTGACGGAGAACCTGAATCCAAACGACACAAAGAAATTCCTAAACGCCCGCGTCATCTACGTAAAATCCCGAACTACTATTGCGGTGACGAAGAACAGCTATGGTCCTGTGACTAAAAAAAAAAAAAAAAAACCAGAAAAATACGCAAATCAATGTCTCTAAAAACAAAAGAAAAAAACTGGGTAGGACCCCGTACGCTTACGCAGTGCGTACGCGTACGTATTCCGGCGTACGCGTACGAACCCAAAATCGCACGTACGCATACGTAAAAAAAAAATTAAAAAAAAATTAAAACAAAATCCAAAAACTCTGAAAAAAAGGTATGTTGTGCAGAATAATGATACAAACAACATTTTCCTGAAGGTCGTACCCGAATTCGTAAGCAAGCTCCATTTAAAAATAAAAAACCTTAACAAATTAAAAAAATATTTTTAAATAGTTATTTACTTATTATGATAATATTACTTTTTTTTTAATTTTTAATTTCTTACTCGAAATTGGTTGGGAATTCGGGGATGAATCCCAGGCAAAAGTTGTTTGTATAATGTTTCTGCATAAGATATATTTGTTATAGAAGTTTGTTTTTATTTTTGCGTGTTTTTTTCCTAGTTTTTTTTTAAATTATTTCAATTTATTTGTTGTTTGTGCCTTTGATTTTTAACTCGAGTTTGGTACAAAATTTCGAGATGAGTCTCTGGCAAAGGTTGTTTGAAATATCATTTTGCATAACATACTTTTTTTTCAGAGTGTTTCGATGACTGTTTTTTTTTTTTTTTTACGTATTCCCACGTACGGGAGTATGTGTACGCGCATACGTGTCGCGTACAGGAATACGTGTACGTGTGTACGCGCAACCTGCGTACACGTACACCGTGCTACCCAGGGAAAAAACAACTGACACATAATGTCGAAGACCGAACCTAATGCCTGTGTCTAAGTACCAAACATAAAGAAGTGTGAACAGTGAACCACGGTGAACACTACACAAGACAACAATGAAAAAACTACACAAGACAAAAAAAAACAAAAAAAAACAAAAAAAAAAACGTATGTACACGGTCAAGGATCCTCATCTGAAGGCGAGCGCTGAGCAGACCGATGCAAACCTCATCCATGTGTCCCACCACTGCCACGCGATCGACCTCGACCGGGTTGCTCTCCACGACCAGCATGTGAAGGCTCAGGAGGGTCGTCCGGGTCATCATCCATGATAACTCTCCTACCTCTGCGAGGTCTGACGCCTGCGGTTGCTAAATTAACATGTCGGCGAGACTCGCTGCGTATAGGCAGACCGTCTGCTCCTGAAGTCTCCCCCTCCTGGCGTCGATCGATCGATACATGTCAGGCCTGTCTTGCTCGTCGACCCACCTCGAGCTCCTCTAAAATGATGGAGGCCTCTCTCAACCCGTACGTCAGTGGTCGCTGCACCGCCTTTGCATCGCTATCCCGCATGCCCTCATGTGCGCCACGGATGTCGCCACTATCCCCATCTCTATCGCCAAACCCCAATGCCACAACATCTCGATGAACCCCGCTGGTGGATACCCCTCTCAAACCCGGTTGACGATCCACACTCGCAGATGTCACTCGTCTCGTCTCGCTCCATGGCCGATCAGTGCGATCGAACAACATCGTGTCCCGTCCATCGTCGCTCGTGTCTCTCTGTCTATGAGCAGCCGACCTCGGGGTGTGACTGTCGCGCGGCTGGACATCTGCGGACCCCCGTGACAACGGCCCTGCACCCCCGTGAGAGGGTGCTGCAGTAGAACCTCCAGATGGCAGGCTCGGGCTGGCTGGCGCCCAAGACAAGTCCGATCGACCGGTGTTTATCCCGGTGTAATCCATCATGCCATGCGCCTCCAACTCCTCGGCGGTCATACTACAGCCGAATGGAAGGGTGCCGCAAGGATGTGGCGCATACCTCGACTGTGTCCTCTCCCTAGACGGTGCGAAAAGTGGGATCGGAGGCGCGCACATGCCCCTGCCTACACGTCGTTCTGCGATTGAGGTGACACCACCCGCAAGATGCATCGGATCTATAGGAAATGGTGCCTCATGTCGCACAACCGGGCCCACGGTCGTGCGAACCACCAAACTCCGACAGACACGTCCCCCCGAGAATCGCTCTCTCCGGGCGGTGGTCCCAAATCACCAAACTGACTAGAACCTCTGCCGCCGCCCATCGACACCCTGTCATCACCCCCCCCCCCAACACCCTCCGTCTCAACCGCCTCCTGAATTGTACTGCATCCATCTCCTCCGAACGGAGGAGTACGTCGACCAGTCGGCCTCTCCACAACTCTCTCGATCCTCTCAGTCGGTGAAGGACCGCCCACCAATCTCTCCTCTAATCGCTGTCTCGGCCCCTTCACCAATCTATGCAATCGCCCTCTCGGGGGCGAACCTCGATGAAGCTCACCTGACGGAGGGGGAACAACCCCAGATGAAGCCATCCCACTGCGCAAACGTCCGGGATGCTGCCCTCCAATACCGCCACCTCAAGTTGACTATGCCCCCCTGGAACGCGCAGAGTCGTGCGCCGCCTGTGTATCGACAGACTGTGGCCCCGGAGACGAAGGCCGCTCTAGCTCAAAAGGGCTCCCTTCACCTCCCCCCGCCACTACGTCTGCGGACCTCCTCCGGGTCGCTCCACTCATCAGCCTCTCCAGGTCCTCCTGCGGGATGGTCTGCAGGTCCCGCCCACTCCTTCAATCCCTCAGGGCCCTCGTCACTACTGTCGTCGTCTCTGGGGTATAGCCGCAAAGTAGCAGCCCGAGTCCCGAAAACATCTCCGACCTCTCCAGGAGGAGCTCTCGACCCACACGGGTTTCGCATCCAGGAACGTCTCTGCCTCTCCCAGTCCTCCTGCGACCTGTTGGGGTCCGTCCGCTGCCACGACGGCTGAGTCTCAATACCTCCCTCGATATCCAACATGGACTCGTCGATCGTCCATGGCAATGCAAACCTGCGGCCAGCTCGCTGATGAGAGAGAAGGCGGACGTTGGTCGAGATCTCGACCAACTTCGCAGCCTTCTTGAACTCGAGCTTGTTGCGATTCTTTGTGTGCACAGCCTCGTGGGTGGCTCAGTTCCTCTATGCGGGAGAGGAACATATCCACATGTACATGACACGAAGAGCGATGGCCTGCAGCTGCGGGGCTCACTGTCCCCACTTCGACCACCAACAATTGGCCTCATACGTCTCCACGTCGCCGGTACACCTCTGCGCCTCCCTGTCTCCGTCCCTCCCCCCCCACGCAATCCCCCCTCTCCTTGTGTGGAAGTCGCGGAGTTGGGCACATGCAGCCTTGTACTCCGGGCTCGCGACACTAAACCCAGTCTGTGTGCGAATGTACGTCTCCGCCTCCCGTACGAGTCTCACATCATAGTCGCTGACGACGCCCTCGTAGTACCTCAAGTCTATGCGACTGGGACAGAGAAGGTGAGCAGCGGCGTGCACGGGCTCCAACATATGAGCGCACCGAGCGTGCACCTTCTCCATAATGAAGTGTGCAACGCCCGATGGAAGTGCGCAGACCTCGCGTGCCACATCGCGAGTCACGTCCTGCGTCCAATGCACAACCCTCGACATGTGCAGCCCTCCTCGGTCCAACCTACGAAGCATGTCGTACACAGACTCCATGATACGGACGAGGACACCCATGGAATCCCACCAAGGACCATGCCGCACCTGCCACCTCACCCACCGAGCCAGCTGAGCAACGCTACTGTCCCAAGGGAACAAACCCCAACCATCTCCGTCCACCGTCCTCTCCAACGCTGACCTGACTGCCAGCAACCGCTCCATCATGGCGAACACGAAGGCGAATCATGTCTCGCAAGGATAAACAAGCCCCGTCTGCTTGCTCTCCCCCCTAAAGATGTAGAGAGCGGCGTCGTGCTCCTTGATGAAGCGCACCACCGCTCTCCCGCGCACAATAATGTCCTTCAACCATGGGCTTGACAAGCCAATGTCTGACAACATTTTGTTGCAGACATGCATCGCGCACGACAGCCACGTGATCCGTCAAATCTTCGGCCTCTGTTCAGGACCCTGCAACATGTTTGCCGCAGCGACGTACGTAGAGGCAGAGTCCGTGCAGATGGCATTCACCCATCGAGGAGGAAAGTCATCAAACACCTTGATCCAGCCCGCCAAGACATCAACCGCCTGGTCTCTCTCGGCCTCCCTATTCATTGTGCGCACCATCATCACTCCGTGCGACCCGCCGGCAAGGAAGTTAACGATCGGCCTCGCATCCCGCGACTTCCAGCCATGGGACATAATGGTGGCCCCCGTCACATAGAAAGGGGCCCTGACCTCTGCGAGATCCTCGGCCACATCGTCGGCAGTGCGGGCAACCGTGTCAATGTCGGCGATCTCATTGTGGGATGCCCACAAAACCTTTACCGGCCCTGGTAAGTCCCTAAAGTGCCTCACGAAATCCTTCCATGGCTCTCTCCGAAAAACGTTGAACAACAAGCGCCGACTGTACACAAACCACAGAAACTTCTTCTTGAACTCCATCTGCCATTGCGAAGAAAAAGACTCCGTGATGGTATGTTGTCTCATCCTCTTTTGTCCGCCTGGCCTCGCCGCCTCCTCTCTCTCCTTCCTCTTCCCCACAGCACCCGCCGCGTTTTCGACATCCCGATGCGCCTGAGAGCGAGCCGACACGTGCGCATCCTTAAAAAAACGACCTTGCTGGCCCCACGGCTTGTGAACGACTTCCTTCCCTTTGTCCCTCGTGGATGGGTCATGTCGCGCTGCCCGCTTAGCCTCGTCTTCGACGTTGTCAACGTCGATCACGTCCTCATCATCCCTTTCTTGCCCAAATCCTCCCGCCCCTCCCTCGTCCCTGAGCGGACCCGTGGCAGGTGCCGGACCGTGAAGCTCCTCGAACTGAAGCATGCGGTCAAGGATCTTGCTCTCCGACTTGTAGTCGGAGTTGTAGTGTTTGTCCACCAGCGCCTCATCGATCACTGACGGACACCCTTTCCCCTGCCTGAAATGTCGTGATGCCAAGTACTGGTTTCCCTGGAACTCGTGGCCGCAGAACAGGCACTTTAACATGCGGTTCCCGCAGAACCTCTCCCCGAGACTCTAACTGACGCGGATGTACTTGTACACACAACATCTCTTTTGCGCCTTTCGATTTTCGTCTTCCCCGGCGGCCTCAAACGCCCGCGCCTGCCCTCGCGGCATGTTGGTCATGCGCTGCGACCCTTCTCAGCCTCCGCGATCCTCGGCCTGGCCACCGCAAATGGCCGTCAATGTGCGGGGAAAAAAAAAAACTGCACTCCGGTCCGCACAACCCTTCCCCAAAAACCTCCTCACCCGCCGATCACCCCCCCAAACCCCTCTACCCCGGGGCGCACTGTCCCCCCAACCCCATCCCCAACGGCGCCCCTGGCACCGCCCGAAGGCCTCACCCACAGGCCGCCCCACGCAGTGCAGACACCGAGCCGAAGCCATGTTCAATGACCAAACGCGCGTTCAAAAAGTGAACGCCCTCGTTCACTCAATGAACGCGCGTTCAATTTTTCTTTGAACGAGCGTATTCCGACACCGACTTCGTCGTCAATGATGACGGTGCCGCCGCCGTCGTCGTCGCCGTCACCGCCTTCTCTCTCTCTCTCTCTCTCTCTCTCTCTCTCTCTCTCTCTCTCTCTCTCTCTCTCTCTCTCTCTCTCTCTCTCTCTCTCTCTCTCT